ACTGGCTCGTATACACGTTACACATGGGGAAAACCACGAAAACACCCATGCAGCCAGCCCGTTCGCGGGATTCGAACCTCGGACCGAACTACCAGTGTTCAGCGACTTTACCGCTCGGCCGCTGGTGGGCCATAAGCGGAATGGCCGAATTCAGTTCTGAGAGTGAATATGGTCCAATTTCCTTGGAAAGTTCTACACGAACATATCCTTTCCGAAGAGCTGTATCCCACGAATACTTTGCCATAGATACTGGCCCATGAATATTTTGCCATAAATAAACATAGAATGAAGTGCTGTTTTACAACAGCCTACGTTTTAGAAATTAAATGAAACTGCAAATAATCTCACGATATTTGGAGAATGGTCGTAATGGCATAATGGCAGCTTTCATAACGGCATAAAGAAATCTAAGCGCTTAAGAGCAAACATGAAAGGCATAAAATCAAACACATGAAAGGCATAAAATCAAAAGACGTTTGTAATACATAACTGCCGTTTTTCAAAAAATGAAATCCAGTAATGAGCAGGATTAACAACTGACTAGATTAGATAACGCACTGAAAGTAAATGGGCTGAAATTTGACTAGGTTTCAAAGTCTACTCTCGTCATGTACTTCTGTTCGCAAATAGGCTAGATTTTCATAGCGGGATTTCATAACGGTAAAGGCCTTGGGGTTATTTGCTTTACACGAAATGCATTCGCGAAAAATTAGTTCACATTCACTTTACCTAAAAATGAAGAATCACGAAAAACAGAACTTAACACTCTGCGGTCATATTACGGTGCTACTGGTGGGTTCATCACCGTCATATAATTCTCGAACTCAGTACTACCTTGTAGCATTTCTTAATTAGTAAAAATAAATAAATAAAGGACATTAACTTTTTTTTTTCATTTACTATTACTTAAACCGTTGGGGAGGGAGAAAAAAGAACTTTATTCGATGCTTCTTCGACGAGTTCTTTACCTAGCTTATTTGCAGTATAAAACAGAAGTACATGACAGGAGTGGACTTTGAAACCTATGCTGGAGCTACCTTAAAAATTTTGTTTATGACAATAACCGAAATTGATGTATTCAATTACTTAACACCAGAAGTCAAATTTCAGCTCATTTACTTTCAGTGCGTTATCTAACATAGTCAATTGTTAATCCTGCTCATTACTGGATCTTTCTAATTCTTGAAAAACGGCAGTTATGCATTGCAAACGTCTTTTGATTTTATGCCTTTCATATGTAAATCTCTCAAACGTTTAGATTTCTTTAATTGCAACAAAATTTCATTTGCAATAAAAAACAGGTTTAAAAGTCATCCCAGTTCCTTAGGAATGCTCGGCGATTCAGTACTTTGAACTTAAATATCAGTATGCGAGAAGTAGTTGAAGGAATTCAGCTAAATTTTTAGCATTTCTTATGAAATTTTCAAGGATTCGTTATCACTCTGTAGCTAATATCTGAATAGGCAAATGTGCAGTACGCAAATATTTCGTAATGAATAAATAATATGACTTTTTGAATATAGCGGCTCGAATATAAATTTCAGTTGGAAGTTATTTTAAAAGTACTAATTAAAAGTAATACGTAAAAATGGAAAAGAACAATGCATCGCTGGCTTTGGTTCTCAGGAACAGAGATGGAAGGGGTGTTTGGACGAAAGGTGTGGTGTGTAATTGTCAGGTTTACGTCGTCCTTCGGGAATTGCTGACCCCTATTTTTCCAGCTTTAAGATTTTATTCTTGACACGTTCTCCTTACGATCAAGCAGACGGAACCGAAGAGTTTTTAACCATGCTATTGTTCCTTTCGGAGATTTTTTGTTCTTCCTCGGCTTATTTGCATAGCTTTTAGTAAGGTCAGAACGCCCTATTTCTCTCACTAAGTCCAGAGAGAAGCGCTTTTTTTTCTCTCTTAACTATAGGTGAGTGGTTAACATATTTCACATGCACTTTTTTTAAACACTTGTTCCAGAAATAGTTGCTTTGTTTCTGAAGATACGTCAAATATTTCAGTAGTTGCAAGCATTCATTATCTGATGCTGATGTGCGTAGTCGTAACGTTTTGTTAACCTCTGCTTTATTACTCTCTGTAATATACTTTCTATTGAACAAATAACAGTAAAGTTGCCAGACAAATGGGACTGTACAAAGTCCCATTCGTCTGGCCCGGGCAAAGTTAACCGAGATAAATCCCGGTTAATTGTGTCTTGACTTGTATCTTGGAATGAAAAAAATCCAGGAATCTTAAATGAGTGTTTGTAAATGCTGAAAGAGAAATTATTCATTTACAGAAGAACGGAGGACATAGCGCGAAACTTTGGTAATGTTTTTTTTTTTTCTGTGATAGAGTTATTTTAGGATAAAATCAGAAAATTTTTGAGATAGGATAAATTTGAAATTTTAAGACAAAATTAGGTAGTTTTTCAGATAGGATAGATTTGAAATTTAGGATAAAATCTGGCAATTTTTCAGACAAGATAAATTTTTGATTTAAGATAAAATTAGTCAATTTCCCAGATAGGAAATTTGAAATTTAGGGTAAAATCAGGTATTTTTTTAGATAGAATAAATTTGAAATTCATGTTAACCCTCCAGCCGTGGGATCCGTGAATAACGCGTTCACATTTTATCCTGGATATACGCGGAGAACGCTCTTATCACGTCGGCAGGAACTGGGATTTCGATTGCTATCGGTTTCGCATTAAGAAAAGGTATGATTCCCCCCCCCCTTTATGAATTTTGTATCTGCGGTCAGAGAGTTAAAATCGGATAATTTTTTAGATCTTAGTGGGTAATACATTCGCTTCATCCACTTATCTTCGCAGCAGACCTCCTGAAGAGCGTGTTTTTCCTAGTTGTAATGTAGATATGAGCCCTTAGTCTCAGTTTCCTTAGGAAGTCCTCCACGAATGCATCTCTTAACAATAAGAATATTACCCTTGTGTGCTTTGTCTTAATCAAACAAACTAACCTTCTCAGGAACACAATCCAGTTTGCAACAGCATTTGTTTGAATTGCTTCGTATCTGCATTTCATTTACCGCTTAAAAACCTCAAGGTCTTAACACTGAAATGAACTTTTTTCAAAGTGTTAGAAATTAGGTTTTCTGAAATATCAATCAACAGAGAATAGTTTTGTGTGCAAGAGCAGGCGTTTCCGGATAAGCTTGGTTTGGTTTATTTAATTATGGCAAAGCACACTAGGGCTATCTGCGTAAGGGGAGGGTTGCCTTCGGGGAGGACTTTCTAAAGGAAACTGGCTCGTATACACGTTAAACATGGAGAAAACCACAAAAACGCCGATGCAGCCAGCCCGTTCGGACCGAACTACCAGTGTTCAGCGACTTTACCGCTCGGCCGCTGGTGGGTCCCGGATAAGCTTGGAGATTTGTAAATGTTTGCTTTGCTATATCGAAATTGTGATAACAATAATATTTTAGCAAACGCTATTTTTATATATATAACGACAATGTTAACCACATATATGACGACAATATTTGTATTATTCTGTTCGACGCGTATCATATAAACGACAATATTTGTACTGATAGAGGCCAATAGATTTTGATTTGCTAAATCGAACTGTACCGGTTTTCTTACCGTAAAGTTATGTATTTGTAAAGATTTCAAGTTCTGATTTTATTTAATCATGAATATTTGAAAAAAGCATTAAACAATGAAATATTTAGTCATTAATATTGAAAAAAATCATTAAGTAATTAAATATTTAATCATAAATACTTGAGAAAATCATTAAATAATAAAATATTTAGTCATGAATATTTGAGGAAATCAATTAATAATAAAATATTTAATCATGAATATTTGAGGAAATCAATTAGTAATGAAATATTTAATCATGAATATTTGAGGAAATCAATTAGTAATAAAATATTTAATCATGAATATTTGAGAAAAATCATTAAATAATAAAATATTTAATTCATGAAAGATAAGTGCCGCGAGCCCATATTTTGAGTGAAAGTTAAGTTTCGAAGAGTCGCGAAAAGAAAGCAGATTAAATAATTATACTGAGAGTGAAACATTATTTGCAAGCAAAGAAATCTCTCAAAGGTGTAATTTATAGCCTTTTGCTCTGGTGACCGAAAAAATAGATCACAAGAATAAAAAAGATTACATGTTAGCTTACATTAAATTTTGGCTTATGACAGTTAATAATCTCAAAACGATCATCTGTTGCTAAGGTGACCATTATAATGCCACTTCCTTACAGTACCAGGTATCTCATGTAGATTTCTAATGTAGAAATTTCAGGCTCCGAACTCGCTTATTTTGATTGCAGTTCTACAAAGAATTCGCAAGTAGGATTGAAAATGTTCGAGTTTTCCTTTAATTGGGCATTGTGCGCTATCGCTGTTCTCAGTTAGATCGAATTAAAGTGGTAAACGTAATGTGGGAAGTTTCATTTTTCATGGCTTTCTTTGTTTTAACTCTTCATTACAAAACTCCGTCGAAGGTCACACGGTTTCATAATACGCGATTATAACGCCAATATATCCGAAGATATAATTTTATTCATTACGTTTCATTTTTGTGACCTAAATAATGTTTCACAAACATGTTTTATAAACTTGATTGATTTCTAAATTTTTGTTCCCTGCGAAACATTTTAGTACTCGGACTTCTTTTACTTTTTAAGATAATAATTAGCACATGGAAAAACTTCAGAAAGGAAATAATATGTCATACTAGCACTTACTTCAAGAAGAAAATAATGAAGTAATTCAATTTGGAAACATATTTGTATACCGTAATTAAACCAAGTGACTATCTATGTTTTAAGTGTTTGACGATAGATGGCGCCACCACATCTGAGTTTGTAGAATCACCTGTTGGGTATTTCCGGTGTTGAACTTGTATCGCTCTTGTAGCATTTTTCATAAAATTTTCATTCTTGTAGCATTTTTATTGCCCCTGAAAATGCTTTTACAATTCGAGCACGTGTGTAGCAACGCACGCTGCTTGCATTATTTCTTCGAATTCCTGAGCTACACTTTTCGCTTTATTCGGTTCTTCCTCAGTTTTACTGTTTCCGTTCTTTCATAGGCGTTTTATTTTATACATGACGGAGTCACGTTCGTTTTGTATTCAGATTGATTTAAAATTTTGCATGAATCAAATCTCAGCACAGATGAGAGTTCAGTGTCTGACTGTTTGACGCTTCACGTCTGGAGGTCGTGAAGATGGGAAGGTAAGAGGAATTTTTAAACTGTAAAAGCTATTTTTTCATCGTTATATCTTATGACGATGAAAAGATAGCTTTTCTGAATTTTCTGAATGTATTAGTACTATTATTTTCAGCACAATAGGGCAGAACTAAACTGATTTGAACGGTATTTATTACATACTTTCAGAAATTTAGAAAAGGGGGACAAATTTTAAATTGCATGAACGAATATGAAGAGTTTACGTAAAGTAATTTATTTTTAGAAAGTTTTGTTCCCCACATTTCTATTGAATATTTGGTTATTGTTTCCATATTTTAAGGAACGAGCTATAAATATGCTCCCAAATTTTTTAATTTAAAACTATGATAAGAGAGAAGAAAAATTTCAGAAGTTTGTTTTCCATGACAAAACGTCTTGAACAATTTTGTAGAGAAAAATGGTAAACATATTCATCATTAGTAATCATCATTCATCATTTTGTGCTTAAATGATGAATTTTGGGCTTATTACTAAAAACGACAAATTATCTTTTAGGCGTTTTATTAAATGAAAGTTATCTAAATTTCACGTGATTAATTATTATTTTATTTCGATTTGGCGGATAACTTTAATAACATATATTTTCGGTTATTTGATAAATATTTTTGTATAAAATAAACTTTCTATCGAATGGAATTGCATAAGCTGTGCATTTGTAAATTAATTTTTTTTTTTTACATGCTTCTAAAATTTAAGCGGCTTTAACGTTTTTGAATGTATCACTGTGCTGTCTGCAAGCGCCATCTAGTAACGAGTTTCATTACTAATTTACTCTTTCGTCAGAAGTTACAGCCCAGTGAAATGTTAAATGATCGAAAAGTAGGATTGTTTATTGTGAAAAGTTTTACCTTTATAGAAGGAGTATAAAAATTGTTCTTTAAATAATTCTAAGATTAAAAAAAAATAAGTCAAAATTTTCCTGTCCCTGTATCGTGATTCGCTTTTTCTGTATTTCGTTGTTATTTCTTTTAATATGTTTAAATTATTTTACCATAAAACTAACAGAATGATGGCTAAATTTCTATTTTATCGCCCGCAGTATGAATAACGGCAGTTGAAGAGCGTGCTTGAAAACAGATGATCAAGATTATGGCGTTCTTACGTTTTCTATTTTCTGAGAATACTACTTAATTTTAGCTCATTGATAAAATACTTATGAATTTCCGCATTCTGAATATTCTGAATCAGTAACATACATTTTGTATAATAGAGGAGTTGGTTAACTGTATATAGGCAGAATATTGCATTTTCTTTTGTTCATGCACAATTTGATTTAAAACGAAAGATACAAATACCCGCCCTAAGAATTGTTCTCCACTGTCTCTTCAGCATTTTTTTACCAATTATTGTAAACAGATTCTTGGCCTTTTCTTGAAATTCATTGCGATCCGCATGTAGCTGAAGTCATAGACCGCTGATACTCCATTCTGGAATTTATGTCCATCTGCCGAACGGACAGGTTGCATGAAGGTTTCAACAGTGAACGAATGCCAGTTCTCTTACCACAGATAATCCTTCACTAAAGCATCTGTCCATAAATAGATGAGATCTTAATTATGATTTGTTAAATCTAACCCTTTGAGTTTTGTGTTCTTTGGAATATCTTATTCTCAATTTTTTTGTTCAGGGCCCTTTTCTGAAAGGAAACTAAAACTATCGATTATTCAAGTGGTTTTTAAAGTTAAGTAGTAATTCCCCCCCCCCCCCAATGGTTTCGGGATATGTAGTTTTGCCCGTCAGACGAACGGTTGAGGTTTAGTGAAGTTCTGTAAACGCTGATATCGGTTACCCATACCTTCTTTATAACTTGCTTTTGGTCTGGAATGCGCAATATGAGAAGTCTTCTCAAATTCTTGCGTATCGTATAAGAGTTTTTGCAGCTGCGCTTTCAAGGTCGAGTCGCGGTGGAAAGAATTTTTCGGTATTTCGACATTCCGCTGACGTATTTCGGGGCAGAAATCTTTGCGGTTGTTATTGGTAAAATGCATTCACCTCTTTCGTCAGCGTGTTAAAAATAGGGATATTTTAATCAGTATACTTCATTATGATGGCATGAAGTACGGGTTGTGCATATATATCGGTTTCTTTTATCAGGATAGACATTAAGATTTCTGTCTTAGGATCGCAACAATTATTGTTGCATAGTTATGTTTCGATTAATAATCTAGTTATGTGGGAATAACTTCGCAATAATGTCATCACTAAATGGGGGAAGTTTATCTAGAGATTGCAGTAATATTTCAAAAAGTGAAGAATGTGGTCGAAAAGTGAATGACTTTGTAGATAAGTAGGAGTAAAGAGCTGATGTGAATTGATAATTTGAGACTTCAATTGAGAAAGGCGTAGTGCCTGTTGAAAGTGAAATGTTGGCGTTAGCAAAATGTTTTTGTGTCTTTCTGCGTGTGGGCTGTTAAGCAACATGTGGTATTTATTACATATAAAGGTACGTGGAGTTCGTGATGTTTACATTTTTTGTCTTTAAGAGTCAAGAAATCAAGATTTATTTTGTGTGTGGTAATTCATACTGTTCTGAGGACTCTTCACATCCTATAATATCCTAGCTCTGTTTCTTAAGTATAGGTTACAGAAGTAAAATGTGGATTTAAAAAGACGAATCCAGCATAATATGAAATGGGGAGATTTCGCAGTCTGTGGTAACACATGTTTATTAATGGTTAATTTAAATTCTAAAGGCTGATTTGCATGTGTGGCAATAAATTGACAATGCCTTTCCCTTCTGCAAGTAGGAAACACCTACTTGTGACAATATTTACTGAACTTTTTGAAATTTACGTTGTCAAGTATAAGATTATATTTTGTTCAAGTAGTTCACATTGATATGCAGTTATTAATTGTATGCCTTTCTGTAATTTTACTTTACTCTTAATTCTTATTTTTGATGTTGTAGATTTTTCTTTGGGGGGGGATGTTTTGAAATGTGTAGCTTTTAAATTATGTCATCTAAAACAGTAGATTCTAGTCATCTTGAGTAATAGAAAACATTCACAGTCATTGAGTGTATGCATGCATCATTTATTCTTTTCAAGGCAAATTTTTAAGTCGACGTAATTATTAATGACTAAGTAAAAGAACTTATTCCAAAAAGCGCAAGTTTAATCTGCTACAATTATAATTGAACTATGTAATTTAAAATAACATGATTAATCACAAACAAGTTTTACTTCAAAGGAATATTGAATTCTGAATAAAAATTCAAGAGGATGCTAGCTTTTTGTTTTGTTCCATTTTATTTATTTATTTTTTGAAGTTAAATAAGTAAAACTGACAAATAATTTCCAAAAGGGCAGTCTTCTTTAATTTTAACATTTTAAAAATCAGTATTATCTGCATTTCATTGGCCAGTACCTCATTATTTTGATAGAAGAGTATTTTAATCGTTCTGTTCGTATTTGATATCTTTGTTCGTAAACAGTCAAGTTGTTGTTCGGTAAGAAACTGAGATCTGTTAGTTTCGTGTTATGGTGACCTTCAAGAACAACGAATTAAGTTAAGTAAACCGAAATGTGTGTGGGGGGAAGAGAAAAAAAAAAAGGAAAACTAAAACTTTGTATGCTTCTCTTTCTTGAGAAAGGAAATTTCTTTTCGTTAACTTATCTTTTCCGGAAGTTACTATTCTTTACAAAAGATCCCATTACAAAGAATCTTTCTGAAAATATAAAGCGAATAGCTTCACTTCTTAAGTTTTCATATTAAGAACTTTTACAAATGGATGCAGCTATTTCTGTTATATTTATCAAGAAAACATGTGATCTCCGTTATAGGACAACATACGCCAAACAGTTTTCTCTCTAAAGACGCATGTGTCAACTTAATACTTCCAGTGAGGAGGCATGTACTTCCGTCATCACCTCATTGTGGTTGTTATAAAAATTTTTCAAATGTAAGAAATATACCTCTTACGTCAGTTATTTCAGTAAACAAAAAACGGAATAGAATGACACGCATAAAAAACTTTTATTGGCAATACTTACTTTGAACACAAAAACAACAAATTTAATTTCACAACGGGCAACATTGGCGCATATATCCTTCTGTAGAAAATTGTTTGGCGCGTGCAGTCTCGTAGCGGAAAACATAAAAAAATAATTAAAAATTTACTATTGAATTGTTTGGTTCTGGGTAAAAATTCAAGCAAGGATTTTTGATCAAGCAGAAGTATGTATATGCCAAATGATTGAAGGGCCACTATGTGTCGGACTGGCATATTTATGAGAACTCCTAATTGATAGTTTAATGATTAATATTTTTCATCTCTGATATGGCATTTTCATTAATTAGAAATGAAAATAATGAAACTAATCTATTGCGAAAATGTGGACCATGAAAGAGTCCGACGAACCCGTTTGATGAACGGCATGCATATCTTTAAATTTTAGTGATACTTCACTTAGCTTTCACTAAATTCTCTTGAATTCATTAATGGTACAATAGCTCGGCGGAAGCTAAAAGGGGAAAATTATAATCCCTTAATAGCCCAACGTAAGTAGATTTGACAGGGATGAATCATGGCATTTTAGAACACTGTCGATGTCACTGCGCTTTCAACACATCAGTGTTAATTTTAATCCTACATTTCTAAATCAAAGTGGGGGTCTTTTATTCTCTTTTAAGCCTTAAGGTTATTCTTTCGCTATCAAGAATTAAGTACGAGATCATTTAACATTGCTCTTGAGCGAGCAGAGATATTTAAGAGGTTTCGATGAGTTCTTATCTAATGGAACCAAGAAGGTTAAAGACAAGTAAAACTGCATATTTTTCTTCTTGCAGTGAAATTTAGTGACTATTGACCTAAAAATTAAAAATTCGAGGTATAAATAGTTATGGTAGAAAAATAAATTCGGTGATTAGATTTTTTCGTTTTGTGGATAATAACCCAGATTGAGATTTTCTACATATCACACTTTTGTAAAGGAGCTACAAAGGGAAGAATAGCATTGTGTGAGGAGTCTGTGTTGTTTACAGC